TCGGCGACGGGAGGGGGCGGGGGAGGAGCATTTTGCACTTCTGTCATTTTTCGTCAACGTGGAGACCCATCTAGAGAGCATTTTTGTGAGTTGACAGGTTTCACCGTGGTGGCTCGACGAGCTTGCTCCAGCTTCACAAGAGCTTCACAAGAGTTAACAGGTTTTACCAGAGTGGGACAATAAACCGGAACTAGTGAAGCAGTGAAAGTGCAAAATGCTCCCCCCCTCCGTGACCAGATTGCGCTGAACGCCAATTCTTCATTTTTTCCGAATCTTGACGAGTTATTCTGACAAGTTCAAGGAGTTTACAGGGTGCTTGACAGGTGATAACAAGTCTTGCAGGGTGTTGACAAGTTCATCCGATATTCACGTCTGCAATTTACAGAATTTGGTTTACTGACAAAAGAATTATAGCCGTGCCCCCCACAAAGCTATTCGCGCCCGGAAGTACTCTGAAATTATAGTTTTGCTTTACAGAGTGGTCGTAACATTGTCCCAGTCCGGCTATTCTTCGACACCGACCCAATTGGACCACCGAGGAAGGATACAAGTGAGGAGTTCCCAAAGCGCGTCACTTCGCCCTCGCCTGATGACAAGAAAGTCACGCAGAGGGTGCCCGTAGTGAACGTAAATAACAGTATCCAAAAAGAAAGTAAACCACAGTTGAAGGAAGTGAAGGAACTGAAGAGGACGGAACCACGCCTTCTCAATTCCGGAAACACCAACCTAGAACCAGTTACCAAGGAAGATCTACCTGTTATTGGACCAGAACGGCCTACAACGCTTCCAACACCATCTCGTGAACAGACCTTCAGGTTCAGGTTCGGCTTCAGGTTCAGGTTCAGGTTCAGCTTCAGCTTCGTCGGGAATATCGGGCAGTATCGAAGAAGATGAGATCGGAGGTAGTGGAGTTGCACCAGCTGCAACTAGCGAATCCCAAGAAGATCTGCTGTTTGTGGACAGCAACGGAGCAGCTTCATCATCAGGGTCAAGAGAATCAGCGAGCGTGGAGAAAGTCGGCACATCCCCGCAATCGCCTGCACCATGGGTCCCGAACACATCAGACACGCAAAAGCTCAGCTCAAAACCTGCTGATATCACGAAACACAAGACGCCCATAACTTCCCTCGTCAGCTCAAAACCTTTTGGGTTCGTCAGTTCAACGGCACAAGTGAAAGGTACGTTTGGTTCAGCCCATCATTAAAAAATATCCAGATAATCGTGTCTTTTCAGCGAAACAAAAGATTCCAAATGGTGGTACGACTGTTGATCAATTTGGAAGGCGCGTCCCTACACTCCCCACCAGACCCATCATCCCTACCACACAATCTCCACGGAATTACCGTTCCAATACCAGTAGCTGGTCCTACACCAGCGAATCGCACCGATACGCTGCCACAACTCGTATCAATGCCCCCACTAAACACTCTCAAGTCATTCTCGTCATTGAAAACACCCGTAGACATTGCCACAAAACGACTACCATCACCATCACCACCACATAAGAAAATATCTCAAAACAGACTGATCGACGAGAATCGAAGGAAGTCCTCTGGTGTACTTGGCCTGAAGGGTCTGCTGCAGGCAAGGAATCAGAAGCAAAAGTTCACTCAACATCACAATGGCGCCACGCCGACATTTGGCACAGTGGATTCCGATAAGATATTCCGACAACCAACACCCAAAGGACGACAACCACTGGACAGGAGTCAGTTCATCAAAACACGACCGAGGTAAAAAAAATGATAAACTGCGCTATAATTCCACTGTGAGAGTCTATGAAAGTTATAATATAACCTAATGAGAAGTTTTTAGACAAGTGTTTGAAGAAATTTGTGAAAGGTGTCATTTCAGTATTGAAGTAATTATTTAATGTGTGAAGATGAAGCTCTTGGCAAGCTTGAATCAGGCACCCTATTCTCAGAGATGCGCGCATGCACTCTTCTCGACTAATTAATTAATTCCCGTTCTTCGAGTGCGGTCCCGACTAGGCAAATAGCTTGCAACGAAGCAGGGGTTGTCGTCAAATACTATCTCCTGAGACAGGTTACCGGCCCCAAAGTGGTGAAAATCTCAGTCTGGTCCAAGGCGAGCCGATCCGGGACTACGAACAAGACAGGATGCGGAGAGTGAACCTTAGTAGAGAAATGATGACTCTTGCCCAATATTCCTGAAAAGTATTTTCACACTATTTAGCTGACGTCACCCGCTTTTGGATCCCACAGATAAGGGAATTTTTCTTTCTACTGGGAGGGCACCTACTCAGCACAATAGTCTGACAAAAAGGGAACGGACATGGATAAAGGGGCGGACTCGCGCCAGTCCCTTCAGATTAAGCAACGTATCCCAATTTAATCTGGAATCAAAGAAATCCTATTGTTTCAGGCCGCTCCCTACCACTGCGATAACTTGCTCGTGTGAGCCAAATAATGTTTGCCGTTTCATTTTTTTACCCTTCATTTACTTGCGAGCAAATCATTGGTTCCCGGATGATACGAATAAGAGTCATAGCATTGGATGGAAGCGATTTTCTCTACATCAAAAGCACGGTCCACAATAAGGAGCGTAGGTAATACTGCTGAAAAAAGGAAAGAAGTTGTCAAATGACTCGTTTGTGGAGAGAAAATGCCGGAGAAAATGTCAGCAAGCCTTTAATAAAGCCCCTCCAGCCTCGAACAATTGTAGGGGCTAAATAGCCGCGTCTTTGGAAAGACAGGTCGGCCAGTTCCTTGTAATGAACCCTGTGCCTCCCTACGAGACAGTAGACCACCCCTTCCATGCCAGTCGTCCGTTAGCATCGCTTTCGGCTGGAAAGGGCACTTCGAAAGCAGAGTCCGGAGGCCGAGTCACTGAAAAAAGGAGGTGTCACCGAAGCGACTCGGAGCCTTAACGTGTTTACCTTACAAGGTCCCCACTTGAAGCTGACACAAGAATGTCCATTTAGGACCGCACTACCCTTTCCACACAATCTTTTGCATTTTCTTAGGTCATCGCAGACCGTTCCTTTAGCTGCTATGCAGCCTGGACAAATCTCGACGATTAGGAAAACCGATCGTTACTACGACACCCTTTCCCCCGCAACTGACTCATATTACTGGGTTGGCGAGGAAGTGCCGTCATATTTTTTTGGGATTGAGCTTTCTTTTGGTGAGGATTGTGAGATCAGCCGTATCCAACTCTGTTATTCGGGGTCCTTGCCAGAATGCGGGCCTTGTGAACGGTACCGCTCCACAACAAGCTGGTGCAACGCAAATTTGGGCGTCACCTCGATGCTGACGTGGGCCCCGAAGCTTTTCTCGTCCATGTAATGAGTTAGTTTGGAGAGCAAGTAGCATTTGGGAGGAGTAATGTCAAAGCTATCCTGATGCTGAAGGAGAGCCATCCAGCTGTCCAGCTGTACTGCATGAGGGGGCAGTTCGGCGATGGGGGAGGGGGAAGGATTTTGCTTCCCATCGATGTGTCGACCCATCTAGATAGCCTTTTCTTGAGTTGACACGTTTTACCATGGTGGCTAGACGAGCTTGCTCCAGCTTCACAAGAGTTCACAAGTTTCACCAGAGTGAGACTTGTAAACCGGAACTAGTGAAGCAGTGAAAGTGCAAAATGCCCCCGTCGCCGATTTGCGCCTTGCATGAGCATTGGCTTGACTTTTTTTTACAAAGTGCGGTCCGGTAGTATTAAAACAGACTGTGCGAGCAAATATTTCTCTTCGACGGCTTCCAATCTCAATACTAGGGCGTGAAGAGGAAGGCTATGGAAACAGCTCTGCCGTCCAGTAGCCCCGGTGGTTTCACAAGCCGCAAGCTTCCTTACATCAAGTTCCAATGGCGGGCTTCATTTCCTCATGGGGACTGTTTTCGGGGTAGACTTTTCGATAACTGGAGACACGATCCTCCTACATCTCCTTCATTCTCGGCAACATCCGTACTCGAATCAGAGTTGTAGAAGAAGAAAATTGGAGAAAGCGGGTGCTGACGGTGTAGGACGGAATTGTTGTCCATATTGCTAACGTTTTGACCGTCCTGCATATCCATTACATCAGCTGCCCCATGAACATACAAAATTACACTAAATCTTAATGTGCTTTCCCTTCCCTTTGTTATTTATTCTTATATTCAGGCATATATTTTCTTCTATTCTATTTTCTGTTATTTCAGCAAAATCGACCGCAGTCAAAAGAAGAACAGCGTGACGCAGCAAACAGTCAGCACTCCTGTAACACGAAAAATGGTGATAGTCAAAAAAACCCATACTGGGCAACAAGTCTTTGAAACCGCATTCAAAGTGAGTATTTCGTCTAGACCTAGACTTTTTCCTCACATTCGCAAGAACCAAGTAAAATCAATTC